AGAACCTGTTAAAGTAATAAAATATTAAATATTTTAATTAATTTATTGCAATACACATTTCTTGTTAATAATGACTAAATAAATACGCGTTAAATTATCTAGTCTCACACACAATTTAGTGGCAATCATAAGAACTTGAAAAAAGCTGAAATTGACACACCAGTCCCTCAGTGTGACGATGATGATGACGACGAAGAAGGATGGATAACACCAGACAATATAATGAAATATCAAGAAAAAGAACAAATTTTAAATGTAAAAACAAAGAAAGATGAATCCGTGGATATTAAGGTTGCATGCATGACAACTGATTATTCCATGCAAGTATGTGATAACAACTCAAATAAATTTAATAAAATTTTTTTATTATTTTGAACTTACATTTTCGCAAACCTTTTTTAAAAAGAACGTTTTGTTACAAATGGGTTTGAATTTAGTCTCTGTTGAAGGAGCTAGAGTTAAAAAAGTGAAAAGTTGGGTTCTTCGGTGTCATGCGTGTTTCAAGTATTTAAAGAAATTACATTTACTATATGTTTAAATATATATCTATTTTTAAAAATAATGACTTTATTATCTGGTGAAATAATGTAGAATAACTACCAATATGGAAAAACAATTTTGTCCTTCTTGTGGTGGTGCTACTTTAATTCGCACATCAACTAGTACAGATATGAACGGCAAGGTGACTTATTATTTAAAAAAGAATTTTCAATATAATCTACGTGGAACTAAGGTAACTACGACATTGTGTAAAATTTAAATGTTATTTATATCAATTCTAAATTCTCTTTATATAAACTTTAGTATTCAATACCAAACCCAAAAGGTGGTCGTGATGCCAATAATCTTATTCTTCGCGAGGATCAAAAGGAGTATCAAAAGGCCGTGAAGAATTATCGTAAACAAAAAGAAGTGGATATATTTGATCCAGATTATGTACCTAAACTTTTCATTGGATCTGGCTCTTCGACTTCTTGTGGAGCTCCAGTGATTGGCTACGGTCGTAGAAATCCTAACGAAGCTACGCGAGGGAAAGGTAAAGGAAAGAAAAAACGATGAAAGACGATTAAACACGTGATTCAATGAAGTAAACCATATCGTCAATATGTATTTCAAGCTTGTAATATTTTAATTTTATTTAATTATTCGTGATATAAATTAAAAATAATTGGTTTGATTAGTGAGTTTATAAGAATAGAGATTTTGTTAACTAATGAATGCTTTCAAGTATTGTTATGTACATAGTAACATTAGTACACTTATTCAGGTGGTAACATGATTTTATTATCGCTATATTCAAAGTTCATAATTGAGGTCACAAAATTATGTATTTAATAGGCAATAAATAGTTACATTATGTTGTAGAGTCACGAATAAAACATAAAAAATACAAAATCAAGTTATACTTTCGTTTACTTAACGAAAAAAGTTACTAAATAATCAAAATCAATAAAATATAATACTATAATATTTATAATCGAATCCCTAGTCGACACCAAACAAACTAAATCGACAAAAGTGGAAGTATTCTTTATTAAGTTCTTAAAGCAAATAATAAGACAAAATAAAATTAAATGAACAAAATAACTTAATATATCATTTATTAAAACTTAGAAATTTATCAATTAATTCCAGAGAGTTATAATAAATTTTCAAAAATAATACTGTAAGACAAAATAATTTGTTTAATATATCGTAGAATCTTTTAATCTTGGTCTTTCCAAATATTTTTTCAAATTGGGATAATTTGAGGATTCTTTGTGTAACACGCGGTAATAGAAAAAGAATAACCAAACGCTCCTAAATAGAGATATTCTTTTCTTGGGTAATTGCATGTATTCACACATGCTTACTATCTTCGAAGATGTAACCTGGAAGCTAGGTAAGATTTCTGAAGTTTTCATTAAACCTAATTTATAAGGCTTGACATTCTTAACGTTATCTCCCGTGAAGTAACTATCGATGTTACTTGAACTTGCCACCATTTAAAATGAGAACCTAATTCTTTTTATAGACACATGTAACTTCAACATAAAATACAGTAAGAACGTTTACCTGAATAAAAAATAATAATAATAATTATAGAAATTCATAATATAGACGCCTTTATCGAGCATATTATCATTAATTTGTTCCAGGGCATTTCTGGAGAACATTTACGTAATTGCGTTAAAAAGATAAAAGTCATATATAAACTTATTTGTATTAATGAATTAATGCACAGTAATAATTGCTCATGATGAACAGCAAGCTGTAAAAAAAAAAAATGTACAAAATGTCAGGATAATGAAGACATCTTTACGTGTTATTTGTTTATATTGAGAAGCAAAAACAAAAAGGTTTTTATATATCTTTTTATTGATACAGTATATTTTGTTATTTTGAGATTTGCAAATATAATCGTGCATAGTATACCCAAAGGATAACTTTCTACTGATTGGTCAATCACAAAGTAGTCATATCGATATCGAATCATCCACTAAAATTTTGTCAGTTAAAATCTAACTTTCATATTACTTTTGGATCAAATGGATCAAGTGTTCTGCCAATTTATATTAGAAGCAAAGGTAGATATGTATATTTAAAAAGTAATAACTAATAAAAAGATATTTCTTTCAAATAAATGTTCAGAACTTTATGTAAGCAAGATGAGGTAATTGAAAGAAATCAATCATTTCGTGAAATACTATAAAAGTATCAGAAATGCAAATATTGGCGTTAGAGATAACGAAAGTTAATCTTTAATTGCTCCTGCTGATCAGCTAATCACTTTTATTAATTTATAAATCTTTCTCAGAAGTATAATATTTCACATGTTAATATAAAAATCAAGACCACTTTCCGCATCAAATAAAAATTAATTAGAAGATAATTTCAATATAAATCTCGAAATAACAGGTTCTACGTGTTATTTCGAGTATACCGTATTTTGAAATTTAAGTTAATGTACTATGCATACACGTCATGAGATATTTATTTGTACAAGCACAATTTTAAAAATAAATATTATAGTGTTTTAATGTGCTATGCACTGTATGTGAAAATAGAATGCGATCTTTAAATTTCAAGATATCAATTTTTAAATTAGATTTAGAAATAGCTGATTAGATACAGTATAACCGAGATAAATTAACCAATATGTTTCAACTAAAGTTCTGCAAGTAAACATTAGGCCTCCGCACGGGCCGGGTAGGCCCATGGCTAGGGCACTGATTTCTAAGCCCTAGGGTAAGGGTAAGGGCTCAAATGTGAGGCCCTTACACAAACGGGTAGGGTTAGGGTATTACCCGTTACCATACCACGGGTACCCATTAGTTATATAGATGTTATATTCCGTGACGTTCTAAGCTCTGTTTATTAAGGCATTAATTTTATTTTACTATGCGCTAGTATGATAGCTTTACTATACACGTGAGTATGATAATTAATTGTATCCTATATACTCAATTACTTTCGC